ATATAATACTTTTAGACTATTCTCTCCCCCATAGACTTCAATGCCGTAAACATATTTCATCCAGTTTTTCTCAGTCTTACCCCCACCCCAATGCCAGTCTCATTCTACAACAGTGGCACCATATAGCATTTGTCCCTTTGTGACTGAGATACCTCACTCAGCGTAATGTCTAATACGGAAGTTCCTTAAAGCAGAATCCTCGAGAGTGTGGCTGGGAGGCTCAGACCGAGCAGGGCTTTCCTGACCAGTGGATTGCATAGAATACACTGCGGGTCTCCTGCCTTCTATTCACAGCGGCTTCTTCTGACATGCAGGTGGAAGAGCTGGAGAAACGCACGTCAAGCCCGGCCTTTGAGCAGATCCACAGCCCACGGTCAAAAGAAGCTGGGCCAGCATTCCCTCTTTCCCCTCAAAAGAAGAAGGACCATTCTCTGGAGGAAAATCAGAAGACATCAGAAGCTGTAGAAGAAAGACCCAAGTCTCGTGCCGCAGAAGACTGGAAGCAGCTGCCTGAGAAACGAGAGCTTCTCGACAAAGTGCTTCAGAAAGCCATGGAAAAACACAACAACGTTAGTAAAATGGCAGAGTGGAAGCCACAAAGAGACTCGAGAGCGCCAAGGGCTGCTAAACTGGAGCGTTTGCCAGAAAAGGATGCACACATTGACAAAGTGCGCAAGAACAGAGAATCCAAAGATCCTGCTGAGGAGACTGAAGGCGTCTAACTTGTTCTGAGAACCGACTTTCTCCCCTTGCCCTTTCTAAATATCCAAACACTTGTACTGGTCAGTGTCATTTTCTTTTCCCCCCTTTCCTAACAAATATGCTAGCTGATGTAGGACTGTATATGTAGATCAGACTGAATAATGTTGGTTTAGGGGCTAAATGAGAGAAACTGAAAAGTGTTTTACTCTTTTCTAAAGTGTTGAAGTCTGTCTAATGTAGCTGTTTTCCCTGTTGAGTCTTTTCTACTTCAGTGCACTTGATGTCCTGAGTTAATGGCTAGTACTGTATTGGCTCTGTGGAAACATATTTGTGAAAATATGCCATAACTTCTTTCAAAACTAGTTAGATGCTGAATAGTTGTTCACTTTTAAATCCCAGTTCTGTCCCAATTTTACCAGATTTATAAGAATGGTTAATAAAACCACACAGTAATGTTAGAAGGGGAAAAAAACAAAACAAACCTCTTGGGATGTTTTGTCTCTTGTTCTTTCTAGAATTAAAAAAATTTCTTGTTACATAGTACGTTCTCCAATGAGCTAATAAGGAATCAATTCAGCTTTATGCTCCTTGTCACTCCAAGATTCCTTATCCCTCTTTTTTTTTTCTTTTCTCCTAAATAGCTGAGTTCTCACTAGGAGCGAAAGTAGGGTGAGGACAGAAATGTACTCAGAAGAAAGTATTAGGCTTCCTAATCATCTTTGCATGAAGAGAAAGGCAGATGACACAGTCATGACAAATGAGATATAAACAGATGCCATTCAGTCACACTTCCAGGAATACTCTTTTAAAAGCATTGCATTGATTTACATACATTTCATTGTTTGCTATTCTCTCATCCTGAATATACTAGGCTTAAATATGGAAAAACCATTTTGTATCTATTAGGCAACAACCATTCTGTTAAGGATGTTGTAATAAAGAGAAAGAATCTGTTTCTCTCATGTCCTCTTTGAGGTTCCAAATCAATGCTAGACTGCCCAATTTAGGACTTCTTGTTCTGTAAAAAGTTCTAATATTTGATAAAGGTAAGCAATTTTAAAGAATCTGAAGATCTAAACTATTATATCTGTAATTGCTATACAATCATTAAAGCATGCTGAAACAGCAAAAAACCAAATTTTATATGCATCTTCTCTCACATTGCCAAAATGATCCCGATCCAAAGATCAGGTTGCTATATGAAAAGCAGTATTATATTAAAATAGAGGATGACCACATACGATCACAAAAAGGAAGATGACTTTACCACCACATAAATGCCAGATTACATCGTTACTTAACTGCCAATCCCCTGAGAATCCTGAGCCAGTCAAGAAGACACATAATGTTAACCATCTCAATCAACTATATTCTCTTATCTCACACTTTGACATTTGTGACTGTCAGCTGTGAATGTGAAAAAATAATCAACTAAAAATTCCAACTCACTGCCATCAAGTTGGTCTGGCCAATAGTGCCCATTCATGTTTTCCAAGGATGAAAATTGCAATGGGAGGAGAATCTTACTCTTATGGAGCTGCTGGTAGACTCAAATGCCAGGCATACATCCGTTCAGTTAGCAGCACAAATCACTAGACAATGCCATCAGAGCTCTGACATTGTTATTCCTGAAGTAAATGTTAAATGTCAAATAAAAAGGTATTCAGTGTGTGAGTTAAGATTTTATCTTTTTCTACTATATACAATGGCAAAAATATATGCTATGTAGAAATTAAAATTATTATTTGAAAAAAGTACAACTTTGTAAACTTTTCTTTTTTCTAAAAATGATCCATATTCAAAATTCAAAAAGCATGAGACTTCACAAGGAAAGTTAGTTCACCTTGACTCTCTTGTTTTTTCAGCCAATTTCCTTCTCCAGACAATTACTGTTACCAATCTATTGAGTATACCTTCAGAAAATAAACGAATTTGGCTTGAAGGAAGTCTCACATACTTTGAGCTTGTTGCCAGGAGGGGCTGGTCCTTGGAAAAAGACATTATACTGGGAAAGGTGGAGAGTTGGAAAAAGAGAGGAAGACCCTCCATGAGGTGGATTGACACAGGGATGATACCAAAAGGCTTAATCATACAAGAACTTGTGAAGATGGTGAAGGGCATGACAAGGTTCAGATGTTCAGATGTGTCCTTTTTAAAGTGATGGTTGTCCTTGTTGTTAGATGCTTTTGAGTCAAGTATTACTCATAGCAACTCTAAGAACAGCTGTCCTGAACCTTGTACTGTTCTGTGCCATCCTCATCATCTCTGACATGATAGAGCCCATTGCTGAAGTCGCTGTGTCAGACACAATCCATCTCATTGGGGATGTTCCTCTCCTTCACTGACCCTCCACCTTTCCAAGCATTTGAAAGACAAAGCCTTGCCGTATTTGCCTCCAAGGAACACGCTGTCTACAATTTTTCCAAGATCTGTTTGTTCCTTTGGCAGTCAATAGTCAATAGGCTATTCATTACGTCAGCACTACAATTCAAAGTCATCAATCAGTTCTTCCTCTGTCATTGATTGTCCATCTCTCTGATGCATAATAGGTGAAGGAGAAGACCATGGCCTGAATCAGGCACATCTTTGTCTTCAAATTTACATTATTGTGCCTAAGTAATTTGAAGATGTCCCTGACTGAAGACTTTCCCAGTGCAATACATCTCCTGATTTCTTTTTGTTTATTTTGTTTATTTATTTATTTAATATTTTTTTACAGAGGTTTTGGATTTCCATTCATTCTTTGCTGCAATTTTCTCCCTGCCCACCCCTCCCCACCAGCTCGCTTCCCCCTCCGAAGAGAGAAAAATGAAAAAAAAAAAAAAAGAAAAAAAATTCCTTCGTTAGACTGCTGGTACTGAAGGTGTGGATTGTTAATGCAAGCGAGATTAAATCATTAACATTCCTTTGTCCATCTGCTGTCATGTTGACAGTTGATCATGTGGTGAGGACTTTTGTTTTCTTGATGTTGAGACGTAAGTATTTCATAGCCTCCTCACTTTGAGCAAGCAAAATTGTGCCATTTTCATAACAGGTTGTTAATGAGTCTTCCTGCAATCCTGATGCTACATTCTTTATACATTCTGGCCTCTCAAATAATTTATTCAACATACAGGTTGAATAGGTATGGAGAAAGGACACAACTCTGACCCACATCTTTCCTGATTTTAAATTATGCAGCATAGTCAACCAACAGCTTCTTGATGTAGGTAGGTATAGTACTCCTATTAGCACAATCAAGTATTCTAGGATTCTTATTCTTCTCAATGTTAGCAATAGTTTATGATCCACACAGTCAAATGCCTTTTTCATAGTCAATACAACACTAACAGACATTCTTCTGTTATTTTTTACTTTCAGCCAGTATACATCTGACATCAGTAATGTCTAGCAATTCCTGGTCAATGTACTATTCTAGCCTGTTTTGAATGATATTCAGCAATATTTTTGCATGACATATTAATGATATTGTTTTATAATTTTTACATTCTTTTGCATCATCTTTCTTGGGAATGGGGACAAATATGGATTTGTCTCAGTCAGTCAGGCTGGTAGCTGTTCACCAAATTTCCTCACGTAAGCTGGTGAGCACCTCTAGGGCTGCATTTGTTAGTTGAAACATGTCAAATGGTGTCTCATCAATTCCTGGGGTCTTATTTTTTGCCAGTGACTCCAGTTCAACTTGAACTTCATCTTTTATCACCATTGACTTTCTGAAAGTTTTCCATGTCAATTAGTTCTTTTTGGGACAGTGAGTCTGTGTCTTTCTTCCATTGTTTTTTGATGTTCGCTAGGTCATTGAAGATTGTGTCCTTCCAAAATGAATTTGTTTTTCAGTTCTTTCAACTTGAGAAATGCCAAGTGAGCTTGTTATCTTTTATTTATCTTCTCAAGCTGGCCTTTGCTAACTACTATTTAGCTCCTTTGCTTCAGCTTCTCTTCCTTTTGTTTTGGTTTCTTGACATTCTACTACGGTTTTCATAGTCACTTTTTTGACAGTTATTTTGGCTTTTCTCTTACTCCTCTTCTTTTCTCTTTATTTTGCTCTCTTCATGGATGCTATCTTTATGTCCTCTCCCAGTTCCTCCAGTCTTCATTCACTGGTGTCCCATGTCTCAACCCTGCTCTTGAAATTGCTCTTTAATTCAACTGGGATAAACTCAAGGTTATGATTTGATTCCTGTGGACTAGTTTTAATTTAAACTCGCATATGAGGAATTGATAGTCTTCTCCATAACCTGCACCTGATCTTGTTTTGACTGCAGATATTGAGCTTCTCCAATGATTCTTTCTACAAACATAGTCAATCTGATTCCTGTGCAATCCTTTATGTGACGTCTATGTATAAAACTGACATTCGTGGGTTTTTTTTTAAAGGTATTTACTATGAATAAAATGAAATCATTCTATCTCTGGTCTCATTTCTGTCACCAAGTCCATACTTTCTGATTACCATTCCTTCTTCTTTGTTTCCAACATTTGCATTCAAGTAACCAACAACAATCAAGGCATTTTGATTGCATGTTTGGTTAAATTAATTGTAAAAGTTCATAGAAATCATCCATGTTCTCTT